TAAAGCTGCTCACCCTCTCCACTTAAAGCTCCCGGATAAACAGTGGCAGGCGGGGGCTCCTCGTCTTCCCCATTTCCACTATCCTCTCCTTTGTCTTGTCAGTGTTGAGGGTGAGGTTATTGTCCTCACACCATGATACCAGGCCGGCCACCTCTCTCCTGTAAGCCGTTTCGTCCCCTCCAGTGATGCGACCGATCACTGCAGTGTCATCCGCGAACTTCAGGATGATGTTGTCCTTACTGGTGGCGACACAGTCGTGGGTGAACAGGGACAGGGGCTCAGGGGCCCACAGGCTCAGGGAACCACAGGGTCAGGGGCTCACAGGGTCAGGGGCTCACAGGGCCCACAGACTCAGGGGCCCACAGGCTCAGGGGCTCAGAGGCCCACAGGCTCAGGGGCCCACAGGCTCAGGGGCTCAGAGGCCCACAGGCTCAGGGGCCCATAGGTTCAGGGGCTCAGAGGCCCACAGGCTCAGGGGCCCATAGGTTCAGGGGCCCACAGGCTCAGGGGCTCAGGGGCCCACAGGTTCAGGGGCCCACAGGTTCAGGGGCCCACAGGTTCAGGGGCTCAGGGGCCCACAGGGTCAGGGGCTCAGGGACCCACAGGGTCAGGGGCCCACAGGGTCAGGGGCCCACAGGCTCAGGGGCCGGCCATAGCGCCACCTGCGATTCTGACAGCAAAGAGGGTAATGCGGCATTGTAAAACGACGCGACAGCATGCATGACATCACGATCTGCTCGGGAAACCCTATAAAGGCCACCACTACCCAATTAAGCAGATCACCAGGCGGGACAGCACCTCTCCGTCTGCACGGGGGCGGGCGTCATGCGGCCCATCCGTTTCTGCCTCCGAGCGACGCAAAAAGAGTGTCGAATTAGGGCAAAGTATTGCCCCTCCATCTGACCTGACTCATGTAGGCAGATGCAGGTCCCAACCGGTCACCAAATGGGCCGGTTTAGCGATCGTGGGAAAAGGGCACCACCGGTGACCCCTAGTGGTCCTTAAAAATATATCGCCTAAGACGACAAACAGTCATCAAGGGATCAGCCTGAAATATCAGCGAGGTGAGACGCGCTGCAGGTCCAACAGGACAGGCCTGTTCCTGAAACGCCAGTGCTGTACCGGAACGCCTTCGGCATACGGCCAGAGCTCAGGCACATGCTCACACAAGCGAGTGGGGGCGGGGCTCATGGCTGGACTGACACAGACAGTCCCCCCCCACTGTGAGAAACCAGAGCTCGAGGCGATGGAAAGAGGCGGGTGAACAGGACGGGCAGAGAGGATGAGGCAGTATAAAGCAGCAGTGCGGGAAGGCAGGTGGGGGACACCTTACAGGCCACAGGCCACAAGCAACAGGCGAGCAAAAGGCACGGGAAGCAGTGACTGACAGCAGCAAGGTAAGACAAACACCGGGAGCCCGGCTGTCACCACACACTGCCGTCACCACACACTGCCATCACCACACACTGCCGTCACCACACACTGCCGTCAGTGCTTTCAGAAGCCTCAGGGAGCAGGAGGACGTTTCCTCAGTGCGAGCAATATTCCCTGGACTTAATACTAATAATCAGTCATTAAAAGTAAGTATCAACGTAATGTAAAACGGCTAAGATTTAGAAACCGCACTAGTAAAACATTTTTATGTGAAAATTAAGTCAAATAATTGTGTCGAATATCAATCAGTTGTAAAAGCAAAACTGAATACAAGAATGGAGTCTTGTGAAGTACAACAGAAGCCAGCTGTGCAGTGTCTGCGCAGCCAGGTGAAGGTTAGCAGGTGCGAACAACATAGCGGGGGCCAGCAGAAGAGCAGTAGCGCAGACAGCCAACAGGTTACTTATGAACAACAGCTGGGCATGAGCCACCCCACCCAGAAGGGGCATACAGACTGTCCCTGACTTATACAACCTATGACTTATGATGACTCACACATATGACCTAAGGTTTTTAGGAAATGTATGTAAAAATAAATGGTAATGCATTACATTAAGTGCACCTTATACAGTTTTATAATTGATTGATAACGTTCTGTGATAATAAACAGTATAAATGTGTAATGCTTGTTAATAATGTACATTAAAGCTGTTTAGGTATGTTAGGATGCTATGGTATATTTACATGCTGCTTATGAATGTTCTATGTATGCATTATAAAGGCATTACGAAGGTGCAGTTAATGTAAAGCATTACTAATTTCATTTCGGCGGGCCTATGCTACCTAGTGCATGCTATGCGCTGTATGATGATAGCCGTGGAAAAGTACCGGACGGCATCACGATCATCCCAGCCTCACAGGCGATTGCCAGCCTCACAGGCGATTGCCAGCCTCACAGGCGATTGCCAGCCTCACAGGCGATTGCCAGCCTCATTCTCACACCTAAAAGTCAGAGTGATTATCCTATTCCAACCAGTGTCCACTTTGACAAATGACCTGTCTGTCGGAATGTGAACCTCTTACACTGGGGATAGTCTGCATCCATCCATCCATCCATCCTTTCATCTTTTAACTGATATATCACAGTCAGGGTTGCTGGGGGCCTGGAGCCTATCCCAGGCAGCACAGGGCAACATATGATACCGTACAAACTTAACCAATAACCAGTTCAACATCACCCCAGAGCAAGTCACTACACCGAAACGCCTTTGGGTAAGACACTGGGAGTTTCGGTGCAAGACAAAAGCTTGCAAGCCCCGAAGGCATAAAAGTTTGATCAGCCACCTCTTGCAGCTATGTGTCACACGCATGGTTATCTTTAACTGGAAAATGACCTGTGGAATTCTAGGAAAGAGACAAGGTATTCTGCATCTAAGTGTGACGCTGATTAGGCTCTATGGCTACCGGCAAATTTTTTGTTAAAATACCCAATGAAGTAAAATGACAAATCCGGTGCTACAGAAACCAAAAACTGTAAATCACAATTTATTTGTGTGCAGAAAATAGATGCCGATGCTGTTTATTAATGCAAGGCTTTCACGCCAACGCACCATGCAGGGTAATCGGCGAAAGCAAAAACATGCGAGATTTCTAAGGAAACTCTCGGATGTCACAGCGATACTGTGCAGCCAGTGAACCGCGTCAAAGGCAGGCGGCATGGAGCCTGGGGAGCCGCGGGACCTAATTCCGGGGCCAATCGTGAGCTAATTGTTCCAAGCTGTGAACCAAACACGCTCAATCCATGGAGCGACATGTGGGATCATCTCCTGATGTTACCAGATCACTGGAGCGTCATGCAGTTGTAGGGAACTCCGGTAAAACCACCACCCTCATCTCGACCAATTCAGCCTCGGATCGGCCAGCCAGAAAGAGGAGCCTCCGATCTATACATTTCCTGCTAACTTGACTTTCTTCATGTAGGGTTTCACTAAGGCCTGCCAAGTTTCAAGGCTGCATTTGTGCTGGGAACAAACCTAAAAATATTTAGCAGTGAAGACAGGGGGGGGGGGGAAATGGGCTGGGGGGGATAAAAGGAGCATGACTGCTTTAGCATGTCATGCTATTTGTGAAGTTGAGCCCTGGGGGCAGGTGCCCTTAAAGAGGGGCATTCAAACGTGCAAATGACACAAAATGACGATTCCCGGAAGACGGCGGCAGCTAGCTAACTCGTATTCTTCTGGTTTTTCTGGTCTCTCCAGGTCTTTCCATGGTACAGCATCCTGCTGGTCGCTGTGACAGTGACATCAAAGCCACACGATAGCAATATCGCTAACCGTATCACAAATCTCCCAGGACAGGAGAGGAAGCAAGCAAGAAGCAGGAGGTCCACCGCGTCCGAGCCAGCAGACATGAGTGTCACAATGGAACGCAAGCCGAAGCGGCCCCATTTCATCCCCCGGCCACCAGGAAAGCCCTACAAGTACCAGTGCTTCCAGTGTCCGTTCACCTGCAACGAGAAGTCCCACCTCTTCAACCACATGAAGTACGACCTCTGCAAGAACTCCATCTCCTTGATGTCACAGCAGGCCAAGCATCCAAAACGGGACCCCGTCCCCGACCAGATACCGCCCTCGGAAACCCCCGCCCCCCAGACCCACACGGGGGACACGGACCGGGCCAGAGGTCCAGACGACGGCCCAGACCAAAAGCACACTCGGGAGGACGAAGCAGATCCTTCGTCCCGAGAAACGTCGACCGGATGCCTGGCAGAGTCACGGTCACACGGAAGCTCTGCTGCGAAGGAGCCCCAGACCGACCCCTCAGCCTTCTCGCTCATCGCAGCCGAGGTCGACACGTCGACGTCAAAGAAGCCCGAAGCCTCTACTCCAATCTGGGGCCCCTTTCGCGACTCCAGTGTAAACTGTGGCCCAGCTCCACCACAACTCCTCGACTACTCCGCCACTGCACCAGGCCACCTCCTGCACCCCACCCCCCAGCCGCCAGGAATCTGCACAGACTATGAAAGGGCAATGCAGATCCACCTATACTTCCTGGGTCCCCAGAGGCCCTTACAGCCTCGCCTGCTCTTCCCTGAGTACTCCTCCCTGCCACTGCCAGAGTACTACTACACCCACTACCCACCCTTCCACTTAGCCCCGCCCCCTCACTACTGGCCTTCTCTCACTGCCAACCACATCTCGAAAGACCCTTCTATGGAGTTCCCTGGCCACCGCCTGCATAACCGGGAGCATGAGCTTTATTCGTACCCTTGTGCCCAAGGTGGCCACAGCAACGAGTCCTTTCTGGGGCCATGGAGTGCGGTTCAGCCCAGGGAGCAGAGGTCAGGGAGGAGCCCAAGGGCAGGGTGTGCGGCCTCCTGTTCACCGGACCGACCGGTTACAGCCAAACTTCCCAGGATGACGGTTGACAAACACAGACCTTATCAGCCCTACCAATCGGAGGGAAGGGTGCCCATCCCACAGCCAATCAGAGGACAAGTAAGCACTGGGAGCCCCATACAGGAAACAAGGTAGGAAAAAGCAATACCCTCATTCTCACCTTTACTCTTTATTTTAATTTAAAGGGACCGTTATTAATGTTTTATAAATGGGTTTCAGTAATATTAGAAAGATCATTCAAAATCCTTTTATCCACCTATTTCAGGATCTCAGAAGAGAGAGAACCCAACTCCACATTGAAGGAGGACGACGGGGAGGAAATGCCTCTGACTCCACTAAACCTCTCCAAGAAAGACCAAAAGGACCTGGGGTCTGTCTCAAACCTCCCCACCACCAGAGGGAGCTCTCCATACCGAGAGACCGTCCCTCTTAACCTGTCTGTCAAGTCACCCACCTCTAGCCCGGCTACTCCCACCCATGTGAATTGGCCCACATTCACCCCCCCGAGCTTGACTGAGAAGCAGACGGCCGCCATCGCTCTCTGCCAGCTGGCTGCTGCTGGTGGCTTCGCAGAGGGCAGCAAACGCAAGCTGGCAGAGTGCCGAGCCCAGGCCAAAGGTCAGGAGAGGATGCGGTGCAAAGAGAAAGAGCAGCCAGCTAGGACAGGCAAGGCTGAAGAGGCGAACCGAGCCCTAAAGAAGAGGCTTCGCAGAACCTGAGCAGGAGAGAACAGGGCCTTCTGCATCGATGAACTGTGAAACAGGACTTAATGAACTCAATGCAAAATTCTGTATGATAAACACCCACCAAAACAGCTCAAAAGGGGGAAACGCTTGTGTTAAATATGAATAACCATAAAATGGATGGATGGATGGATGGAAAACCTTTACCTAAGCTACCATATATTTTGTACGTGTTCCAAAAATCTCAGTAATGAAGAAGTCACGTTCTGCAGGTCATGTGTCACATACTAAACATTTCTAACTTACTGCTGTGAACAGCCGGGATACACATATGAGGAAGGACATGTAAAGATATGCAGGTTTAAAAAGGCAGCCGTTGAATTGAATCCATTGCATTATTATCTTGTTATAAAGAGAGATTTGTGTCTATTATCCAAGTCGCAGATTGTGGTTATTGGAAAGGGACCCGTGTGACTGGTCACCCCCTGGGGAGGGCGGAGGGGGGTCCTACCGTCAGTGAGGCGGGAGGGCAGCAGCAGCCCCCTGCGGCCCAGCTCCGCCAGCGCCAGGCAGCCCCCGTGCCAGGCGTTGTCCGTCTCCTGGAAGCTGAAGCACTCCAGCACGGAGGCCACCACCTCGTCCGCCAGCTCCACGGGAAGCCTGCCCGTCACCCGGCCGATCCTGAACAGAGGGCGGCATCGTACATAAGCTCCCTCGCATCCAGTATTCAAGTAACCGACATGCTCAGGTAACTGGCACCAGGACTATACTGGGATTAATAGTCGGCCCTGGACTTTGGGGTCCTCCGTTGTAAATTCCAGTGAAGGGGAACCCCGCAATAAATCACCCACTGGAAAATGCCCAGTACACCAGATGGTCAAATCAACTATGTCCCAACATTGCAAGTTACGAGAACATTCAGTGTATTAATCAATGTTTTTAGGCCTGATAACACATGTACATATGGACAAAAGTAGAAGAACACGCCACTTAATCATTGAATTCAATTGAACTGGGTTAATTTAAACCCATTACCACAGCACAATGACATTCAGTCAGGTTCACAGCATTTGTGAAAGAATGCGTCATTCTGAACAGCTCTGCGAATTCAAGCGTGGTGCTGTCATAGGATGCGACCTTCTCAATATGTCAGTTCATGGTATTTTTTTCAATCTGGATAATCCACGGTCCACATTAAGCAGCATTACTGCCAAGTGGAACCATTTTGGAACAAATGAAAGTGGCAGATCCACGTGATGTAACAGAGCAGGGTCTCCGAGTTCTGAAGTGCACAGTGCGAGAAAGTCACCAACTCTCTCTCGACTGAATAACTGCGGAATTCCAAACTTCCTCTGGCATTAACTCCAGCACAAAGACTGTGTGCTGGGAGCTTCATGGGATGGGCTTCCATGGCCGAGCAGCTGCATGCAAGCCTCACATCACCAAGCGCAGTGCCAAGCGTCGGATAGAGTGGTGTGAAACACGCAGCCACTGGAGTCTGGAAGAGTGGAAGCATGTTCTGTGGAACGACGAATTATGCTTCTGTCTGCCAGTCTGATGGAGAACATTACCAGCCTGACTGCATTGTGGCAGCTGTAAAGTTTGGTGGAGGAGGGATAATGGTATGGGGGTGTTTGTCAGGGGTTGGGCCCTTAGTTCCAGTGAAGGGAACCTTAATGTTTCAGCATACCAAGATATTCTGGACAATTCTATGCTTCCAACTTTGTGGGAACAGTTTGGGAGGTCATTTTCTGTTCCAGCATGACTATGCCCCTGTGCACAAAGCAAGGCCTATAAAGACTTGGTTAGGTGACTCTGGTGTGAAAAAACTTGACTGACCCACACAGAGCCCGGACATCAACCTCATTGAACACCTTCGGAATGAACTAGGACAGAGATTGCGAGTCAGGACTTCACATCCAACACCTCACAAATGCTCTTCCGCATGAATGGGCAAAAAAATCCCCACAGACACACTCAAAAATCTTATATAAAGAGTGGAAGCCGATTTAGCTGCAAGGGAGGGACCAACTCCATATTGATGCCTATGGATTTAGAATGAGACGTCATAAAAGTTCCTGTAGGTGTAAAGACCAGGTGTCCCAATACTTTTGTCCATATGATTTATGAAAATGGTTACATCACTAACCTACTGGGAACGGGTCTGAAGTCTTACCCTTTAGCTGCAGACCAGCGTACGATCGTCTCCTTGTCCTTCAGTCCAACCAGGAGTTGCTCTACACATGGAAGACAGTTTTCTACTCACTTAATTCACACAAAGAATTACAGGAATTAGCTTTGGGGATATGGTTTAGAAACAAAGCTGAAAGCAGTGCGATACAAAGGGAAGCACTCACCAATGACATTCTCAATCTCCTCCGGAATGTCATAGTCTTCCTCCTGGGCTTCCTCCTCCAGGTCAGGCCTCCCTAGACTGGGCGTCACCAGGCCGCCGGGCTTGGCAGGCTGGGATAGATTCGCAGCCAGGGAGCGGCTTCCTCGTTGGTACCTGCCATCCACAAAGCTGACCTCAGCCTCACTCTTTCAGATCTTATACTCTGATCAGCATGCGTCCGTGAGTCTTCAGCTAAGACATCCATTGACAGTTTCTATGAACCCAAACTAGTGCAAGAATCTGTCAGCTGGGGCAGTACCCAGGCAGGTTAACTGGTTATTTATGTTTCTGTTTTTTGAGTTCCAGAAAATTCGAGACCTGGCTTACAAGTTACCCAAACATACCAAATACCAGAACACACCCATGTCAGACAAGACATCTAGTCATAGTGTATACATTTCAGGATATATTTAGCATCTAATGCCAGGAACAAAATAACACAAAGCACCTCTGACTGAAGCGCATTGTTACACAGACCACAGCAGGCCCGGCCTTGTGTGACCTCGACACCCCTATCCCACCATGACCTTTCACCTCCACTTAGCCAGCCGGGGCTTCAGCAGCGTCAGGCCCAGGCGCTGGACCAGCTTCACGCCCAGTTTCCGCAACATGGCCTGGCTGCTGTCTGCCAGACCCTGCCTGTCCAAACACTGCAGGACTGTCGGAGCTGGGCGAGGGCATCAGAATACAGTGTTGGCGTTACGGTCAATGTCACGACACCCTGTGACCCTGTGACGATGAATTCATACTCTGGGTGAGAGAAAAGGCATACCATATGGCAGGAAGTCATCTCGCTTCCCATGCTTGAAGAGCTGTGCCTGAAAACATAGTTCAAGAGGTCAAAGGATTTAAAGGTCAAAGTTCATGGTCAATACCCGCATTTAATACTCAAGCCAAGAATTGTATGCCTGGTTTATGGTTGATTATGTTTTTTAGCCTCCCCATGATAAAACTGGCTTATAATCATATTCTTGTGCTTGTACATTATCACACGTATGTGACCACAGGAGATTGTATTTTTCCAGAGGAGTACCAGAGACTGCAGTGCCCCGTCTAGCATCATCGTCCCCTCCATGGTCAAATCGCTAGCCTGGGACACCCTGGTCAAGGTCCAGTCCAGGAAGTCTCCCAGGTGCTTCTGCTTCACGTCTGGCCTGGTCATAAACCTGCGGGATTCAACAAATCCCGCAAAAATGTCAGTGACTCACAAGTGGCATATAACAACCACACAAATGTGTCAACCAGTTGCAGCATTCAGTACCACAGCGGTCTATCTAAACACTGAGACTGTACTGGGAAATTTTAAGCAGCACCGGCAGCTTCATTGCGCCCCCTGCTGGCCAAATGTATGAATGCAAAACACTGACATTGACATAGTGGGATGCAATCAGCTGCTGAACTACAGCAGAAATAACAAAATAGCTGTTTAAGAAATGTGATAAAAGCAGCTGATTACTTACTTTGAGAGCAGAATGGAAGCTGCATCCCTTGGCTTGTCACTAACCATGAGGTAAGACTGCAAAACGTGAAAACACATGAAAAAGCAACACGTTCAAATGATCTTCTGCAACAAGAATACGACAAGAATCGGAAAAAGTAACAACCGTATCAAAGCTGAAATTTAAAAAGTGCACCAGTCACCTTGGCGACAGCAAGGATGCGGCCCATGATTGGCTCTCGGGTCTGGGCGGAGTCAGAGGCCAGGTGGCCGTCCAGCCGGGAGAGGTCAAAGGGTATGAGGCAGGTCATGGAGAGCCAGAGAAGCAGCATGTAGCGGGTCTGCCACGTCTGCAAGACAGGCGAGCAAACAGCAACAGCAGGAAAGGTGAGCAACCAACGGCTTGAAGACATTTACATCAGTTACAGAACAACGGCACCTTCTACAATCATGATTCAGGCAGTCCCCTGGCTACGAACGAGAACCGTTCCCCAAGTCTGTCTTTAACTCGAATTTGTAGGCAAGTCAGAAAAATAATAGTACAGTGCATAATAATCATCCATCCATCCATCCATCCATCCATCTTCTGAAACCGCTTAACCCTAACTGGGGTCGCGGGGGGGACCGGAGCCTATCCCGGGAACAATGGGTGCAGACCGGAACCAACCCTGGGCGGCCGCCAGCACACTGCAGGGCGCACACTCACACGCACACAACTACAGGGCCAATTCAGACTCACCAATCAACCTGCACACTTTTGGACCGTGGGAGGAAACCAGAGCCCCTGGTGAAAACCCACGTGAATACGGGGAGAGCGTGCAAACTCCACACAGACAGGACCTGGGACCAAACCCAGGACCTTCTTACGGTGAGTGCATAATAATAATATAATATTACAATATAATAAATATAATAAGAATAAGGGGCAGCATGGTGGTGCAGTGGTTAGCACTGCTGCCTCACACCTCAGGGACTCGGGTTCGAGTCTCCGCCTGGGTTACATGTGTGTGAAGTTTGCATGTTCTCCCCATGTCGTCGTGGGGTTTCCTCCAGGTACTCCGGCTACCCCCCACAGTCCAAAGACATGCTGAGGCTAATCAGAGTTACTAATTGCCCGTAGGTGTGGATGATAATTCAGTAATAATAAAAATAACTACATACGGTACTGTACCTCAAGCCAATGAATTGCTAAAGCAGTGCATGCTTGCTAAAGCAGCAATGTTTTCACGAGCGTTGTGATTATGAACCATTTGACTCAAATTTTTTTATATAATAGACTTTCTGGTAGTCCATTCATATGTGCAAGTTTTCCATAAGTTGGATGTTCTTCACCTGGGGACTGCCTTACTACATATGCACAAAACTAGAAGAAAAACTGAGGAGAAAATTCAAATATGTATATTTTAATCATTTTAATGCAAAAATTACCATAATTGACCATCAATATGCAGAAGTTAATTATCTGCCATTGCAATTACTGTGTGTCTCTGAGAAAGTTAATATCTGCATCAGGGAGCCCGATGAAAGGATCCGACAGGAAGGAATGTCCTTACTCACCTCGTGATCTTTGGGATCCTGGCAGCAAAGCAGGTCCAGAACAGGACGCACATCTGAGACCTCATGTGGCAAAAGCTGCATGAAGATCTTGTGTCCCCGGACCTGTCAAAAGACACAAATTCACAGTCAGACATGATCTAGGAACACACACATATAATAATAATCCTGTCCATCAAAAAGAGTCAAACATTAAGAAAAGGAACAAATATGAAAAGCTTTCAATAAATCATAATGCCATATACTTTTTCTTGATCTAATCATCTAACATCTGATCACTCTATTTAAGGTTAGAGCCTGCGTCTTACCTTTGAGATGAAGTAGAGGAATTTAAAAGCCAGATGGACCAAGAGAGGTGGAGACTGCTCACTGCGAATCAGCTCCAACAGAAGGCCCAGCATCCACTCTGAGGGGGCAGAAAGTAACTCACAGACTTCAGAAGACCAGGTACAATCTCAACAGTCCAGTCTGTCAGATAAAAGTTTCTCATACTAATGCTATGCTTTAGATGCAAGGAGAAAAGATATAAAATACAGCACGGAATTTATTTTAACATGATTCCTGAGCAAAATACGATAAGACAACTCAAACCTACCCAAATGCGGATCCAGAAGATGAGGTTGCTCCTGATATTTGTCCATTAAAACTGGAATGGCATGAAAAAATTGGAGAAAAACGTCACTCATTTGGTATAATACAGCTCACGGCTAACATAAGCGTTTGTCTAATATCGTGCACTTTTATTTAAAAATGAACAAAAGATAACACAGGAACTGATCGGTCATTTCAAAATTACATCTTTCAACAATGAATGCACTTGCATTACTGTACTAAGGCACAGGCTATACTCAGGGGAGCTAGTCAGGGGAATTTCAGCAGCTTACAGACGAATCTCTGTATAGCAGCCTCTCTGCATTTGGTTTCCTTATATGCCTCCGGGAGCCCGGCGATCAGGGTTCGGGTCTCCGCGCTGTCGCTGAACGCCGCCAGTATGCAGCCATGGGCGACCACGTCCGACTCGCACCCTCCCTCCTCTCCCTCGGAACCGTTCTCCATTTCGGCCAAGGCCATCTTTTAGTGAGTTTCAAAGAAGAGAGCAAATCGCCCACGCGAACAGAAACTGTCGTAACGATACAAGAAGTCTTTCTAATTACTTAATTATAAAAATGGCAGCACGAATTCGAATGGGAGTGTCAGACACGCTATGATTTAACGAAACATAACAAAAGAAAGCCAGAGAGTACAAACAGCAGAAAGAAAACGTCGGTGTGCTATATTTTTCTAAAGACGTATAAAAAGTCTTTCGACGCAAAAATTATGTAATTTTTCCTAAATTGCCAACATTAACGGATGCAACACTACACTGTCACCTAGCTCTTGTGTTGTTGTGAACCGCCCGCGAGCCTACAGTAGTCAGGCGGTACGGAAGCCGAAGTAGTGCAAAATTTATCCATAAACGCGTTTGATGGGCGCATCTGCACTGCAGATCGTCTCGATGTCCAGTAAACGAAATTACCGTGACGACGAATTCCATCATTGCTCTTAAAATGAACCTAATAAAACAGGTGATAATGAAAAAGAGGCACTTAAACACCAAAAGACAACACGAATCATAAATATAGATGTTTTTCTTTATTTTTCTATTGACAAGCAAATTAATCAGTATCAATAACTGTAGTTGTTAGCACGTAGCTCGAAAACACCAAAAAAAATAAAACGGCTTCAAATAAGCAGGCTTAGAAACAAGCCAGCAATTTTCACATAAGCCATTTCAATTGCACAGCAATATATGCAACAAATGCATCGCCAAATCACCATATTATTCATTTAGTCATTACAAATAATTGAAGAATATGTGCATGCAAGCTTATAAAAAAACCCAAAGTTCCAAAATTAAACTTTCTGTATCATACTTATTCTTTGAATGGAATGTTAACTAAGATATTAGCTTAGTAAGGTTTCTAGTCTTTGTTATAAGTTCATTTTAAATGCTACTTAATGCTTTGTGGAACGATAAATGTTATTTTATTATTCCACACTTAATTTTAGCTTCTAAGACTTGTTTTTTAGCACTCTGCGAACAGCCAGATAAAATATTATTCTATTGAAACCATCCATCGACCTGACCACCCCAACAACTCGCAGTACAAAGTCTTAGGGTGAGTCCTATTGTAAACCTTTTTACATAATCATTAGCATGTGCTAGAATTTCTTTTTGTTAAGTAGATAAGCAGTCTGGACCTCAGTGTAGAAGACTTAAACGCAGGAACACTAGGGACCTGATTCTAATTCTAGCTGTACTCTTCAAAGGACTATTACAGCTCATGTTAAGGTAAAATACATTGACTTTTGCTGGGCCAATGGTAAGGCATCCAGTAAATTAATTAAGTGCAGTACTAACTGGATGCCATACATTGTCAAAACAGTTATATAATCAGTACAAATGGGTATTAATATCTCAGTACAGACACTTTGCAGTTATATAATACCTGAAAATTATACTGCATTAATTGAATAGTCCTTCTCTCAAAACAGAAAGTGGGCTGTTACAGTGTGTTCCTGCAGACAGTTTGTCCAGAACATTGCTTTCAGTTTTCCACTTGTATTCGGTGTGAGTAATAGAATCAATGACTGTCATGCAATTATCACACACCTGAAAATAAACAGCACAGTGGAATTTCAAAAGCTTTGCGTTCAGCTCGAAAAATGCTGGATGAGAGGTGGGGTCTTTCAGGCAGATGAATGGGTTACTTTGCAAGGTCTTTCATGATGCGCAGGGATGAGCCCTTGTAGCCACCACCAAAGTGGTTCCAATGGTTAAGGTAATGGAAAAGCTGGTAGAGCTGGTGCCTGTTCTCGAACCCGGGTGCCTTGGGTATCTTCTTGTGGTAGGCGGAGTAGAAGGAGCTGCTGAAGCCACCGAACATGCCGGCAATGGCCAACTCGAACTCCGCGTGGCCGTAAAAGGAGGCGGGGTCAAATATGACGGGGCCATCCGCACACTCTGCCACGTTGCCCCCCCATAGGTCACCGTGCAGCAGGGCTGGGACAACCTCTAAACCTGTGAAGAGCTGCGGGATCTTCAGCTGTGTGGGTGGGCAACGTGTGCAAGAACCAATGGAGACACATAGTTACAGACAGGAAGGGGAGGGGCTTAATGTAAAGACAGGAAGTAATGACAGAACGTGAAGAGCAATAACCGGCGAACACATAGAAGGTAAACAATGAAATGACATTATTCAGATAAATCAGAATCATATTTAAATTAATATAATAAGTTTAGCTCAATAAGTAGAGCACTGCACTAAGAATGCAAAAGTCATGGGTTCAAATCCCAGGGAAAACACGTAAAATTGTGACCCTTCCCTATTCTGAGCGCTGCTACGGGTGGCTGCCCTTCGCGGACAACTTACTCTACAAAGAGCAAGTTGAGGGAGGCATAAAAACAATTTCCCCACGGGGATCAATAAAGTATAAATTATTAAATTATTAAAAAATTATTATTATTATTATACTGCAAATTGCTTTGGATGAAAGTACTTGATGAATGTAAAATAAATATCAAGTTTTCCTTGTATTTTGTTATATATAAATAACAAAAATAAATGCTTAACAACTCTCGAGTAGTCTTTCTTGATGATAACATTTACATGTCTGTATGTTATTGAGTAGACTTTTTTTAATCGAAATATGTCTTTTTTTGAGAACGTAGGGTCAGACAGGTTCTAGGGGGTTAAGGGCCTCGCTGAAGAGCCCAGTGACAAGATCACACTGCCAACGCTGGGATTTGACTTTCCAGTCGCTTTCCAAAACAATGACGTGCGGAACACGATTCTCACAGAGCTACCTGGAGTCGAGACCACAGCTCTCGGGCCTCCCGGTCCCCGCACGTCTTCTCCACCAAGCTAAGCTGGTGCTGAAGTCTTTGCTGACAGTAGAACGACACCCAGTCGCTCTGCCAATCGTTTACCTGAGGATAGAGGCTCACGCAGAGCCACACGTGTAAGAGAATGGGGCTCCAACAGGGTAAAGGAAGGAGAACGATACATAGATGGCTGAGTATTAGCAGTCACGCTCATCTAGCGCACAGTGGCGTACCTGTGGCAGGTAACCACAGCAGGTTACGGTGTGGAACCCAAACTTGTCGATGAAGGTCGCATCAGACTGGCCTGCTCCTCTGCCTGCAATAATAAAGAAGTTAAAGTGTGGCAATGTAACAGAAATGTACATGTAGGCGATAGTGAAAAAAGCCACTTCACTGAAGCGCATCTCATCTGCATGAAGTAAAATTTGTGAGCCAGCAGGGGGCATTATTGGTTTACTTGTGAAAAACCACAGGCCTGTTTTGAAGGCAAGGCGCAAAATCTCTACAATAATTGTATCTCTCGGCTCAAAACAAACAAAAAAAAAAAAACACCATCCTATTTTTCTGACAATTAGCAATATTTACAATTCATTTAAAAATCACCAAAACCCCAATATTTTTGCATTTTTTTAGCAGAGACTTCTATCCAAAGCAACTTGCAATTCGGAAAGTGGGGTCAGACGATCCCTGGAGCAGCTAGGGGTTAAGGGCCTCGCTCAAGGGCCCAAAGGTGAAATGACTCCGCCGACCCTGGAGTTCGAACCTGTGACTCCCCAAACACGGGCCTAGCATCCTATCCCAGACAGCCACATGCTTATAATTTCACCACCGAAGTCTATACAAAAACTGCATCCTACAGAAAGTATCACGTGGAAACCTGTCCGACTTTTAACTTGAGGTGTGGCTTTGAAATGCTGCGTGTTGCCTTGGCATATATTACCGATGGTCTGCCGTTCCCTGTCCTGTCTCTCTCTCAGTCTCTGGTTGTGGAAGTGTAAGTCAGCCAGCTGCTCGCCCAACTTTGCAGAGTGCCTGCAGTAAACAGCAGAGAGAAACCATCAATCCAACACCAAAAGTTTCTCCTTAATGGAATCACCGACCAATTCGAAGATAAGTGGTACCTGTTCAGGCTCCCCATATCAAGGTGCTCCATGACGAACACTGCACCCCCGCGCTCCATGTCTAGCACCTTCACTGGTTTCGGCACCTTCACAGTGGCAGTCTGTAAGATGGCTTCCAGGCTGGCCATTTCGCCATCGAACATCAGCCTTGCCTGTGTCAGATCAAACCCACGTGCATTAGTTTTGTTTCTGCTGTCATAAATTTGCCCACTGATAAGTTGGATGCACTTAAACTTTTTGCGTTCCTATCATATGACAAAACGTTTTCCATGAAATGGTTATATTTTTGCAGTTTAAATCATGAGGTGGTGGAAAGTGTGATGTCAAAAATAAGCCCATATAAAGGTGTAAAACTAAGTTTCATGGACCGCCCTGAAGAAACGGACAGTAATGTTATAAAGCACGGTAAAAATGTTTTCAATTAATACTGTAAATCTGGAGTGGGTGTGTCGCTTCAGTCACTTTTCTATACAGTGCAAAAAAAACGGACCTAAACCCTACATAGAAAATCCTTACCAACCTGGATAATAGGACATTAGCACAAAGCAATGACTGGATAAGCAAAATCACAATGCAATCATTTAACGACTACGTTTGGTGTGATTAACCAGACAGTATCGTCTTTCCAAGCTAATTCAACTTTAAGATAAGTCAATAATGTATACTGTCTGTGCCACCATATATAGTTTTCAGACATCTTAAAAACAGACCATTCGTTATTTTGTTACCAAGCTGACATTTGCAGTTGTGTGCACATATCAACAAATAAAAGCAAGGCTGCAACTAATCAAGGACCTGACTCTTATGGTTTATCTTCACAAACACCATTCCGTTGTCAGTACAGTAGCTCTGCCCTTCGCTGATACATCCCCCTCCCGAGTGGCCAGTGGCTTTCAGCGTGGAAGTTGCGAGCTCCTTTTTCAACAAGGCTTCCATGTTTTGCCGTCGCAGGTAGCAGACAGCGTTGCAGCATGACGAGATCAAATTACTACTTTCCGGAAATGCTTTTTCAAAAGAAAAACAAACCGTGTGTGGAACGAAAGTTTTGTTCCGGGTCACATTTTTTTCGGTTCTACCCCATGTCACGGCCGATAGCCAATAAAAGAATATAAATAAATGATTGACGTACAGCTGGACCTATCATTGCAAGCAGCCTTACGTCGCTATGGTGACGTTGGAAGCTTTCGCGACTTTTCTTAAAAGAAATATAGCATTTGAGTAAACAGCAAAATATTCGGTTTTTGTTATCTTTCTGTTTTAGAACAAGAAGAGTGGGCCAAGCGACAATCCCCAGAACCTCCTGCAGCGCGGTGGTATGTGTTTGCTGCTCGGACCCACCGCGGTTGGGAAGACGCTGCTGCTAAAACGGTTACAAAATATCCTTTGGCAATGTGCGCCGCCAAAGAGGCTTGCTTGATTATTAGCGATAGTTAAATCGTTATATTCCCTAGATTACTTCAAGACTGCAATGCTGCATTCTTTCATTTATACGGGACTATTTAATTATCCTCGACCTATGTGTGTGTATGTGTGTGTGTGTGTGTACCTTGGGACCAAAACGAGTAGGGGGAAAGGGTGTCGTGACTGGGGTTAGGGTCTTTCCCATAGAAATGAATGGAAGGTAAGCCAAGTTGTGTGTGTGTGTGTGTGTGTGTGTGTGTGTGTGCGCGCGCGCGCGCATGCATTTGTCTTAATACTGTCTCAAAAATTTTGTGCGCCTACCTATCATGGACGGGGTGACCAGCGTTACCTTGGAGCTTATCCCAGGCATCATATAGTGCAAGGTTTGGGTGCACCCTGGGCAAGATTACCAGCATCTATATAAAGCTAAGCTCCATAACTAATTGTAAATACATAATTTCTGTTTATGCGTTTCCATGTAATATTTCTCTTTGACTGAATCAACAGCTTAATGTACGGAATGAGACGCCCGAGTCAGGAGAAGTTCCCCCTACATTACCTACTGTAAGTTGTAACATTATCTAGCCACATTAAATTGTGTGCATGTGTTCTGAACTGAACCAGATCATCTTAGATAATTACTCATTCTGAGTGAGCGGGTTGTGATTACGCCGTAATACCTGATACCTCACAGTTTCTCTTTCTAAGGTTTGATATCTGTAACTTACGTTCAAGGTCATTTAAATCTATTTTATCTTCCTCTTTGGTGGATTGTAATATTTACATAGTACTTCCTGAGAGAATATTTAAACACGAAACGTTTATGTAAATGGAAAATAACCTCGGAAGTTGTTTTTACATTCATCTATAGATGACATTACCATCACTGTTAACGTACCTCATATTTCTTCTCAGTTAAAGGTCTTGCATATTCAGCGCACCTCATTGTGTTAAATTACCATCTTGTAAGTGGAATTTTGCATAACACACAGCTGCACAACGCTTGTTAATACAGGCAAAAGTATTTTATATCTAGTTTCGAGTAGTAGTGTTGGGGTTTAGAATCTTGTTCCCACTTGCAGGTGGGCACCAACCTGACTGACCTGACCCTGAAGAAGGGGAAGGTGACTATCAGGGAGCTGGGGGGCTGCATGGGACCCATTTGGCCCAGTTACTACACCGACTGTCCCTCTGTAATCGTGAGTGTTTTCCCTGTGGAGCAGACACTAGAGAAGTACGCTACACGAGTCTTGATCCCTGAAGCTGCATGTGCATCTCTTTACGCAGTTCATGGTGGATTCCGCCAATATCAGCCAGGTGTCTTCTTCCTGCATCCAGCTCCTCTCCATCCTTTCTGCTGAGCCACTGAGAGGTGCCTCGGTCCTCGTGATCTTCAACAAGATGTGAGATGCCGCCCGCCTCCGTCAAATACCCCCGCGCGTATCAGTCCCTTGATTCTGTGGAGTGGAAGGCCACTTTATTAACGGCCACCCGTTGGTGTCATTCCTTCAGTGACCTGCCCTGCCCCATGACCCTTATGGAGATGAAGTCACTGTTCAGGATGGATGACATCATAGCCTCAGCTACTCAGCCAATCACGATACTGGAAGCGAGCGCTCGCACTGGGCAAGGCCTACATAAGGTGCTCAACTGGTTGGACTCTACCCTAAAAGAGTGATTTCACCATTGCACAATTAAATGAATCGTGTGAACTGCAGTGCCCTGTGACAGAGGTGACAAGTTGTCACGACCCCTTCATTTGGGCTGTCTGAGTGGCAGTTTTGGTCACAATTTTTAATGACTCTGGAATGACTGTCCTCTTATAAATCTGTGTTTCACTAAGCAGGTCATTGTCGCCCTGCTCTATGAGAACCACATTTAATTACCACGTGACCCAAAGATGGTCCAAATGTACAGCATACCAAGGGAGTCCAGTTCACTTTCTCTTAAAGCAAAATAAAGTCAATTAAAAAGCTATATATAGCTGGAATTGACCACTAGGAGGCAGTCATAAGAAGGATAGATCTGATGGAAAAATGAGAAAAATGCATGGTGGGTTGGATCATCATGTGCTGAAAGGCAGTGACTAGCTGTCAGTGACTAACTTTCCACTGAACTAAATCGAGTCAGAGTGACAACACAGACCACAGGGCTCAGTCTCCTTTCTCCTACTGCTCTGTGAGTCTGTTTTTTATGTCGAAATGTGTTCAAGCATGCATGCGTGCATGAGAGCCAAAGGTGAAATATTGTATTTTCATGATTATGGTAAATGAATGGAATCGAAAGCAAGACTTTGCAGGCCAGCTACACGAATGTCATTCCATCAATACTTGTTATTTTGTACAAAAAAAATCCCTTGCACTGTTAAAACATACATTCAATAAACAAATGTTTTTTTTCTTCCGCATTTCGGTCCGTTTTCCATAGCTCACGGTGTCCTCGTGCCTTCTGGAATTTGTTTTATCAAGACTATCCAGTTACATTCACCCATCTGTGGAAAGCAAACTCAGACCATTAAATCATAGGTTAAAAATGAGTTACTCTGCCCTAAGATTCTATCTCAGTGCTGATTTGTACCTGAAGTAAATTCTAGTGATGGTTCAGGGTTGAAACAGTCCTCGTTTGAATAGTTTTGTGAAACAGTACAAGTTCAACTTTCCTCCATATTTGGCACTGTGCCATTACCACAGTGTAGTGCACGTGAACCATAACACAGTTTCTTTTCCATGTGCACTCCTCTGCTCCCCCCCCCCCATGTTTTAGAAAAGGGACATTTATGTTGGTGGGTCAGGGATAGCAAATAATGGCTAATATCTAAAAATTACATTTTAAAAAAATACTAGTGCAGATCGAGTGGAGCGTAACCAAAGCTGAGTTTGAGGTTATGCCGGCATCTTCCGGAACGCAGCCTAAAACGTCACGTTAGCCACGATCCTCATAAGAATGGGTTCTGCCTCTGTTCTCCGGAAGGGGGGGCGGCGGAATATGGGAGCAGGGAGCGAGGCTGATCGTCCGGCATGTCGGGGAATACGCGTGTCACCGGGAAGGCGGGGGGCTGGGTGTAGGGAAGATGCAGAGTGTGGGGCTGCTGGCTCAGGGAGAGGGGGGCGGCGTGCGGGGGATGGGGCGCCGCGAGGGGCTGCAGGGAGGCTAAGCTGGGCCGGATTTGGCTGGCAGTCTGGCGGGCCTGCTGGCTGTGGAAAGGGTTAGTGGGGTCCTTGGGTCCTACAAAGTCAAATACAGGAGAATGGGAGATAAAATTACTGATGGAATTTGACCATTAAACAGTAACATTGAACATGCATGACATACAAGTATCTAAATGAACAGCTTAAAAAAAAAAAAAAAAAACCAGGCAGAGATCAATGTTGGGATGAACAGTGTCATGAGAGGATGGGGTTCAGATCGGGACGAAACTCAAAATTAGCTTAAAATACAGCACTTTATTTTGAGATGGAGTGCTTGCAAGTCTTAATTGCACAAATATTGTCCACTAACTTTTTTTAAAATCATTTTGCATATTTATTTCTTTCTGTAATATTACAATATTCTGTTTTTAGGATATTTTCTGTACCATGCTTACTTGTTCGCACTACGTCTACTGTTTCCGTTTTGCAGTATATGTACGTTTGACTGCGCACAACAAAAGTGCATCATACCCTTAATCCACAGTGCAGTCCCAAGTAAGAACCCCTTCCGTTTCCAGACCCACAGAGTTGTCGAACGCCTTTCTAGATACTGTTCCTCTGAGAGCCATTAGGCCTAATGAGCCTGACCATTCTCCTCTGACCTCACTCATTAGCAAAGTGTGTTTCCATTTCGGTCAGGCATCTTAGCCCTTCTAATGTTTAGCCACTCAGTCAGTAAATCCCACTGACCACGTCTGCTGTATGCATTCAGTTGCAGCCACACGATTCGCTGTTTGGAGGAGCAGGCTGCTTGCATTAATGAGCTGCAATTACCTAAAGTAGCTAATTTTATATATAATTGTAATGAAAGTTATATTAGGACATGTTCCAGTATGTACTATCAGTACTAAATGTATTAAAATATTAATAGATAAATCCTTTGACTTATTATGACATCATATTTTAATGGCCTTAAAATCCACAATGTGTCGTATCACATTGGCCAGCTGTCGTTTTGCATCGGAAGATGACAAATCCCGTCAGTCTCAATCATCCGTCCAATCACGCTGCAGTTACAGACAGACTCCATTTCTCCATCGTCCATTTCCTCGTCACTGATGTGACCCAGGCTCACCTGTGAGGAAGGGGTTCTTCACCTTAGCCGGAGCACCTGATGGGATCAGGTTGTCCAGGTCCACCAGGGAGGCCCCCACAGGGCCCAGGAAGGACTCGGGGTTACAGCCGGCCCGAGGGGCCGGTTCTGGAAGCGCTTTGCCGACCTGAGACAGATCGAGGGGCTCCTGGGAACCTCCGTCCTTGTTGTGCAGCTCCTCATCCTCCTTAGGCTCCCCAAACAGGTCACCATCTACAGGGTGGAACAAATGACCTCCATCCAAAACCATCCACCATAAAGAACGGTGCTGTGACCAATGCACAGACCATGCTGGACATATAAAACAGCATATTAAAGTGGAATGAAATCGGTCTAATATAACCCGTTATTGAGTTATCTGTGAACGAGAGAAAACTGGCTCCAAATAATATACTCTGCAAACTGGTATCAGGAAGCACGATCTTTCAGAAAATATGAAGGAAACAAGCTGGGCTGGTCCAGGAGGGATTCCGAGGTGTGTAATCACCTGTGGGGCTCCCAGGGCGATAAGCTGACAGCGCGTGGTGTGAGTTTGCTACCGGGGATTCCTCTGACAGAGCCGAGAAAGGATCTACGCTTGACAAGCCTGCAATGACAGAATGACAGCATCCTGAGACTCAAAAACAGCTTAGCAAGGCAGTAACCCATACCTTATATACAACCATATTATACGCCATGTAATCCGATACGGAGCCTTCGAACACAGCCGACTACCATGTATAGAGAGCCGTAAAGGCCGCCTCTGTTGCCTCACAGGGAGCC